GACTCACACAACCCATGGCTTGTTGTTGGGTTGTTTGTGGGGTTTTCTACTGCACCTTGGTTAAGACAGCACAAATGCCCATATTTCAACGACAGCCCAGGAGTCAACCGTCAACCCATACTCAACGCTTGTGTGTTGCTCCTGTTATCCAAACACAGCTGCTCCCAGTTTTCTTTTTTCTTTTGGTGTCCATCAGCTACTGGTTTGCTTGGTTTGGCATGGTGCGTGTTTTCCCTGGTTTTGTGCACAAGCACTTGTGTGTCCTTATGTGTGTTGGGGTGATTGTGTGTGAGTTTCTCCAAGCAACCCAGATCTGTTGCTTGGGAAATGCTTCTTGTTATACTTTGTGGGGTCAAAATTGAGTTTTGGGGTCCAGACCACCCCACATCTGCCTTGTTCTTAGTTTCTTGGTCAAGAGAATTATCTCTGAGCCTCATCAGTTTGTTTTCTATGAAATAGGTATGCAAGAAGAAAACTGGGGGTTCAAAAGGTTGGTTTTGTGCTTTGAAGCTTGAATCCCATTTCTGCTCTTTACTTTGGTTTTTTGGGGGACAGCTTTTTATTTATCTGCACCACTTTGCCTTCTGGTGCATGCATTTTGCATTTAACCATGGAAGCCATTTTGTGAATGGGTGAGCCTCCTCTGGCAACCATTTTGTGAGAGTGCCCACATAATTCTCTAAACATTTTAAAGATACGCACTGGGACTGGAGTTCAGACATAGAGTTAAAGATCTCTAGGACTCCCCAAATGCCATCTTATGTTGCTTATAGAAGATATTTGCAAGCATTTTTCAACTGAGAAAGTCTTCTGAAATCTCTCAAAATTTGCGCAAGACTCACCAAATTAGTGCAAATCTCCCTAAACTTGTGCAGATTTCCTTCAAAGACTACAGCAAGGCCAAAAAGTCTACAAAGGGATTTTGCATAAATTGGAACATTTGCACAAATTGAAGTAGGAATGGAGAACAAGACAAATGTTCAAAAGCTTACAAACCTGCAGGATGTGTACACATGTTTGCACTTAAATTGGGAGTTTTGAATGAGGCAGGGTCTTGTGAACGAAAGTGATGTTCTATTTTGCACGAACTTCAAGGTGTGATGCAAGTCATAATTTGAACAGATGCAGCCACACAGCAATGTCGCAACTGCCAGAAGATTATCTTGTTATGTGAAAGCACAAAGTCAGCTGTCTTAGAAGAGGAAGAAGAGGGCAAATAAAAGCCAAAAAAAGGAAGTGAGCTATTTCTATTTGAGAAAGAAATAGAAATGGGCCAGTTTCATTTCTAATGATGGGAAACTTGAAGACATGTTGAAAAAACAGCTCACACTTCTGGGTCTCCATCCAGAATCCCCCCGCATCTTGGCCAAAGATTATTTAAGGAATTGTATGTTCTCACTCGTTCTATCTTAGAGAAGAACTAATGGAAGATAGGAGAAAAAGATAACAGGAAACTTCTTAAGGTAAATCAGATTATAATATGTTCAGAAAATAACCCCTATTCAGTGGTTCACAACAGTTAAAACCATAAAATGCTACTTCAGATAGAAAACACTCTTTCCCCAAATAGGTTCACCTCCATGGAGCATCATGAGAAGCTCCTTTAAAGCTCAAAAGAAAAGCCACCATGGGCAAGGAGCCCTGCAGAGACATCCAAGCCACCAGCCTCCTCTAAGAGGGATAGAGCTGTCCAAATTTCAAAGGATCTGTCCATGATGACAAACCCAATCTCCAAAATAGGTTCAGAAATCTTTGATGTTCACACTGAAAGCCAGAGCGGATGTTTGGGTGTAAGTATTACACATGAAGGATGGCTTCAACACAAGATGGAAAGTTCAGTTGCTTCTCATCAGAAGCCTCAGATATTGGCATTTTGATCTATCATGACTCAGAACAGCTCTTGGGCCTCACAGTATTTGGTCTCTGAATCCAAATACTGGGAACTGGGTCTCTTCAGCCTGGAGAAGAGGAGACTCTGAGGGGAGCTGTTGGCGACATACAGGTATGTGAGGGGGTGTCCCACGGAGGTGGGCAGAGACCTGTTCTCCCCTGCAGAGGAAGGCAGGATGCGCTACAATGGAGCAAAGATCAGGAAACCAAGGTTCAATTTGGATGCCAGGAAGCACTTCCTGACAGTCGGGATCCTGAGGGTGTGGAATGGGCTTCCGTGGGAGGTCGATGAGGCCCCATCGGTGCGGGTGTTCAAGGACAGGTTGGACACGCACATAGTGGGCATGTCATGAGCGGAGCCAGCTGGTGCCGGGGGTCAGACTAGATGGCCCAGGAGACCCCTTCTGACTCGCTCTGTTTCTATGCTCTGTGTCTCTGGCATTCCTTACCTCCACAAAGTCACCCTTCTGGGTTTCTGGTACCTCATGAAAACCTGCCAGGAATCCCCAGAAAAGTAAACTTACGTTCAGGTCATCAGGTCATCACTCAGAAATGTCTTTAAGTGAAGGGACTGATTTAGTACAATTCAATCCAAACTGGAATGAGAATTAGGGTGCTCCAGGTGTATGTCCTTTGCATCTTTGTTTCTCTGCTCTACTCTTTGGAGTTCTCTGCAACAAAAGGAGAAGGCATGGTTCATTTTTTCTTTGTACCAGCGGGCAACAGGAAACTGCATGTCTAGTGTTGCATTAACAGACAAATAAATATAGAAATAAAACCACCAAAGAGACTTCTGCCAATATGCTTTAAGACAATGGCATCTTTATCATAGGTACCCAGCCCTGGGTGCCTGCGTATAGCACCAGGAAGCTATGCAAAATTGTGTATTGACATGGCAAAAGCACACCGTTGTCAAGAAGCTCACATTTGCTCAGCCACAGAACCCTCACAGAGATGCAATTGTCTCTTGGAGCAGCTCCCCTTGAAGCATGGCAGGAACAAGGAGAGAATGCAGAAGGCTGCCCTGCAGGGTCTAGAGAAATGGTGGACTAAACATACCATAAGGAAATGACTATTATAACTGGAACTGTGCAGAGATTGAACCGGGGACTTTCCGTTCATGCTTTCAGTCTGAGAATCCATAAATCTACTTAAGCACAGCTGCTTTGCATGAGGAGAGTCACAAAGATCAAAGGCGTGGCTGAGCTGGGAAAAGGTTCTGCATAAAACCACCAGCACCCTCTGTTAGTCAAGGTAAACAAAAGCAAGCTATCTGGACATACACGGCAAGTGGATAGAAGGTAACTTTCTTTGTAAATGCTTGCTGGAGGGATCATGCTTAAAACAATTGTTGAGAGTTATGGTGGAAAGAGGCCCAGGTGTGTAAATGGTGTTTTTATTGTGCATGAGAAAGACGATAATGAAGTTATTAAGGTTCATCTGGTAATGCGTAGCAAACTTGCCTAAGGTGCAATGGCCAGGAGAATTTCTGGACGGCCTTCCAGCCTTCAGGTTGCTACGAGGAATAACATACAGAAGTGCCTGGGAGCTCTAACAGCACCCTTACACCCATATTCCCCAGCAATATGGGGCATACACAGTCAGAGTGCCTCTGATAACAGAGGTAGCCTAGAGTCATGAGGACTAGGAGAATGTGTCCTCTTTTAAAGCCATCCAAATTGGTGGCCATCACTCCCTGTGGCAGCAAATTCCCTAGGTCAGCTGTGTACTGGGGAACAGGAATTTCTTCTCCCTGTGCAGCATCTCCCATCCATCAGCTTCATGGGACCACACTGGGGCTTGTATTTTGGTTTCTCTACATCAGGCCTACTTTGAACACCTTTATCCCCTGACCTTTTTCTAACCTAAACAATCCCAGAAGTTGTAAGCTTTCTTCTTTGGGTTTCTGCTCCATCTCCTGGATCATTTTAGTTGTTCTTTTCTTCACCTCTTTCCGTGCTATGAAGTCTTTCCTCCGGTGAGGTGACCCAAACTGTACACAATATTCAAGATCTATTTCTGGATCAATTACCAACACTTCATACTTGAAGTTGGGACTTTTCCCCCAACATGCATTACTTGTTTTTATTCCGTGCTGTCAAGTTGTCTCCAACTTACGGCAAGTCCATGAATGAAAGCCTTCCAAAATGCCTTGTCCACAACAACCCCACTCTTCTGAATTCAAGACTGCGGCTTCCTTGATGGATCCCATCCATCTCTCACTTGGACTTTCCATTTGTCTTCTGCCTTCAACTTTCTCTAACATGAAGGTCTTCTCCAGGGAATCTTGCCTTCTCCTTCTGCATCCAAAGTAAGACAGGCTTAGTTTGGGCTTTTTGCTTCTACAGAAAGCTCTGGCTTGATTTGATCCAGGATCCCCTTGTTTGTCTTTCGATCAGCTCAGCGTATTCACAAAGCTCTGCTCTAGCACCATGTTTCAAGTGTATCATTTTCTCCCCAACATGGCATTACACTTACTTACACTGAACTACTTTTGCCAGTCTCCACACCTGGAGAGTCCCTTTGGATTGCCCCCCGCCCTGTCACACACACAGGCCTGGTTGGAGCCCCCCCCCCCCCCCCAGAGCATGCCTGGGTCTATTCAGGGAAATAAAGCAACCACGGACAAGGAAAACACACGCTTTCTTCCTCTTGTTTAGATCCCGCATCCCATCACTTTATTCAACAAACGGTATCATGATTGGCACATTCTTCCCAACTACCTGCAAATCCAAAATGAAGTGCCTTGGCTGGACCAGGCCTTGGGGCTGAAAAAAAATAGTCGTGCTTTCCCTGGAGCAAATGCCCCATTCCTAGTTCTGACTCAGTTGAATTTTCTTTTGCTGTTTAAAAACAGCCCGAAGCAGTTCTGCTCTGCTGCTCATTAAGAGCAGGACAGAAAAATGGGTTCCACAGAAGCATGGAACTGTCTGCCTTGGGATAGTTCATGGGGTATCATCTACATGTTTCTAAATAAGTTCTCATTACGGTAAGAGCAAAAGTCTCAAAACAAAAACAAAATAATCCCATTCAAATTCTCTCTTCCTCTTCTTAGGAAAGGCAGTATGTAAGCCAAAACTTTTAGCAGCTGAAACTGAAATTCAAAAGTTCCATCTGTGACTTTTCCTGTACTTCAACCAAGTCAGGTCTCATGATCTGAGAGGCAAACCCGTATGATCCCTTGAGAAAAGCAACACTTCCTGTCACTGAAGCGCTTTCTCATGATCAAACTTTCATGGAATACTTCCGAGGAAGCTGAATTGCCTAAGTTTGTGAGCAATTGTGCACAGGAAGTTCAGAGGGGCAGCACACAATAAAAACAGAGCGACTGGTTTTTATCCCCTTGTTTCTCCAAGAAGTAAACAGAGAGGCTAAATCATTCACCCAGACCAAGAGATAAAGTGTGTGCTGAGGTGTGAAAGCCATCCCAGAGGGTGTTGTGGAACAGGTGGAAAAGAGGTTTTGTGGAAGTTCTGCTCAAAAGTAAGTGTCATTTCATGCTTTCCGCTATAACTCTGTATCTGGCTTCCTGGGAGTACACCCTACTGAATCAGTGGAGTCTACTTTTGAGTACACATGTACAAGTTAATGCTGTTAAAGAGACAATGGTAAAGTTAGGTCTTTTTGGAGTCTGGATTTAATTTGTGTGTTGGGGGAGCTCTTTTGATATTACTGCAGTGATTTCGTAATGAGGCAGGGAAGCTCTGTTGTATTTGGGTGTGCCCCCCCCCCCCCCGCCGCCCCCTGTCAATTGGCCGCCGAGGGCCTTGGATTTGATGCTTTACAGTTAAAGAGAAGAAATGCCTCCCTCCTCACCCCCATATTAAATTCAGAAAGCACATATTTGCAGATGGTATTACCAACCTGGGGCATTGAAAACTCTGCAGCAGATTCAGATCTTTGAATCTGTCCTGAAGATGCCACGGCAGACCAGCTTTTTCCAAGCTGCACAAATGCCATGGACTTGCAGACCAGGTTTTTTTTTTAATTTTATACAGATTTAATCACATAAAAATACAAAGAAATCAAGAAACTGGCTGAAAATTCCTCCCCATAAGTGAAAGTGTAAAAAAAATGCATTCAGGGGATTGGCCTATTTTGGGGCAAATTCCAGTAGGATTCTAATATCATGGGAGAGGGACAGGTTGGTTGGCTGGTTTTCTGCATTGTACATACCTACATCCTTTCTCCCCTTACTCACAGTTTTCAATGCTAAATCATCCCAGATGGTGTAATCTCTCTCTGTAGGGGATGTGCTCCAGCCCCCTCGTCATTTGAATTGTTGGTAACCTCTGAATTTTTCCGAGCTTTACAAAATCAAGTTTCAGTGAAGTGCAGAGGATGTGAAGGGTGGTCACACTAGGACAGAAGGATCCTAGCAGCTTTCTGGGTCAAGAAGAAATGTTGGCTTAGCCCAATTTTGGCCCTGGCATTTTGACCCAGCATTGCCACTGACTCTGTATTTCATGCATCCCTGACCTACCACCAGCCCGCAACTTCCCAGTGGGCTGTTTATTTCTTATTGATTTACTTAAGGTTTTTAGAGACAATTCATTTAGCAACAGCTCTCAGGAGGGTGTGCAAATTAGAACAATCTAAAAACATGAAAGACAAGCAATCTATCACAGAATGGTTAGACGGTTACCAATGATAACAATAAACAGTAATAATGTATAATGCAAGAATAAATAAAACTGAATCACACTGTGACAATGTCCAAATAGATTTTTTTTAAAAGTATAAACTCCAATAACAATTCAAATGCCAGGAAAATGAAAAGGTTGTAACCTGGTGCTGAAATAAGTAAGAGTCATACCAGGGCACCTCCCTGGGGAGCTGATTCATAATTGGGGTGCCACAGCCAAGAAGGCCCTTCCCCTTGTGGCCCTCTTCCTTACTTCTTTTAGAGGTGGCTCCCAGAGGAGGACATCTGTAGATGACTTTAGGGTCTGGGTAGGTGTATATCTTTAGATATCCAGACCCTAAATCATGGACCCATGCACGCATCCCCCACCGCCCACCTTGCCCTGCTCATGGGGAGGCAGTGGTTTGCTCGCTCGGAAAAAACGATCTCCAAGCGAGCAGGCCACTGCCTCGTGTGCCCGCCTCGCGGCACGTGCCCACCTGCGCCTCGCCTCCCTTGCCCCGCTGCACGCCCCACCCCTGCCCCTCCCTGGGTCACGTGCACCCGCCCCAGCACCGGCAGCTTTCCACTGGCCCCTGGTGGAAAAGTCTGAGGACCCAGCAAATGGTTTAGGGCTTTACATGTTAATCCAAGCAGCTTGAAGGGGGCTTGGACTTCAGTTAATAACCAGTGTCGCCTAAAAAGAAAGATTTATTTATTCATTTAGAGTATTTGTATGCCGTCCTTCACATAGCCTCAGGATGGCTTACATAAATAAGAAAAATAAAATAAAACATAATACAAATAAAATCCAGATCCACCCTGGCTGCAGATTAACACCTATATAGCTGATGTTAAGAGTTATTAAAATATTGTTGAAATAAAAAGGTCTTAGCCTGGTGCAGAAAAACAAATAATGACGGCACCAGGCAGACCTCTCTGGGGAGCGCATTCCAAAGGTGGGGCGCCACCGCAGAGAAGGCCCTCCTCTGGGTACTCTGTCTCTTAACATCTTTCACGGAGGGTTCCCGGAGGAGGGCCTCTGCTGTCGATCTCAGGGAGCAGGAGGGCAAATCTGGAAGAAGGTGTTCCTTTCGGTATCTAGGTCCCAAGCCGTTAAGGGCTTTATAGGTAATGACCAGCACCTTGAATTGAGCCCGGACTTCGATGGGGAGCCAGTGAAGCTGATGGAGGACTGGGGTTATGTGAGAGTAACGCCCAGTCCCCGTCAGCATCCTGGCAGCTCTATTTTGCACCATCTGAAGTATCAGAACTGTCTTCAAGGTGGTGGAGGGGAGAGGTACCAATCCTGCACTTCCCCAAGCAGTTGGTGGTTGTGTGAAAGGAGATGTGGACAGGGGAGCGAAGGGGCATTGGCTTCCAGGGAATCCCAGGGAATCCGTTCATACTCCTCCATCTGGGCTTCTGCACCTCTGGAACAGATGTTGGGGCCCAAACAAGCAACAGCAGGAAGAAAATTGGGGAACGTGGCCAGCGCTGGGCTGCTTTGTCTCCAGATGCAGGTGGTGCTTGTGATCTCGGTAGTGATGGCAACCTGGTTTGTTGTTCTGAGCCCATTCTCTGAAGCGCTGGATCAGGGCCTGGGTGATGCCTGGGAAGAATGGAAGAGCACCCACCGGAAAACATACCCCAAGGTGAGTCTGAGCTCCAGGACTTCTTTAGCTGGATCAGTGCCATGGAGCTCACGGGGTGGAGATGTTATAATTTCAGCCACTGGCGAGCCGTCGTCAGCAAAAATCATCTGCAGAGAAGCTCCTGGGTGGTGTGCAGGTGGCACCTCTGGACTGGGGACTGGAGAGATCTGGGTTCTAGTCTCCACTTGGCCATGATGCTCACTGAATTTCTTTGGCCAGTCATTCATTCTCAGCCCAGCCTACCACACAGGGTTGTTGTTGTGAGGATAAATCAGAGGTATGGGAGATGCCATGGGTTCCTCATAAGAGCAGCAAAGGCAGGATATAAATGCAATGGGATAACATACCCCTTGGAGAAGGCTCACGCCTTCTGCCCTCTACAAACAGGTGAAGTGCATGCAGCAAAACTCTGGATTTTCACAGGGGTGTTCTCCACCTAGAAAGGACTTTGGTCCTGGTACGTTGCAGTGCGAGTGATCGAGAGCCGATCTCTTCTGGCCCCCTGGACTCAGAATCCCAGTATCCAAGGCTGTGGGGCAATGGGATAGGTCCATTCTTAACCAAGCACCTACTTGGCAGGGGGAAGAGGCATTCCGAAGAGCTATCTGGGAGAAGAACCTGCAGATGATCGAAAAGCATAACTATGAGGCTCACCTGGGGAACTTCACCTACAAACTGGGCATGAACCAGTTTGGCGACTGGGTAAGCCCACTCTGCCTTGTGCCGCGGACTTTGCGATGCCTAATTCTGAGGTGACTGAGAGTCGCTGTGGTGTGTCAGCCTGGGGACCATGGAAGGGCCTTGTCTACACGAGGCCATGAAGCTGCAGAGGTAACTTTGGGCGAGGTGAACCTCAGCCGAATGTACCTCACGGAGTTGAGGATAAATCGACATTATGTAAACCGCCTTCTGTATTCTGAGGAATATTTTTAAGTTTTACATCATTCTTGGCGGATTTAATTGTGGAAAAATACAGGCAGAAATATTTCTTTGAAACAAACAAAACAGTTATTCCCCCCACCCCACCCCAAAAGGCATTTCTTCCTCAGGCTGAAGTGTGAAAGTCCCCATTTTTTGGGAATTTGCATATTTGGGGGGGGGGGTTGAGCATTTTTCAGGAGTGTGAATTTGCACAACTCCAAATTTGTGCAAATGCATTTGTGCAAAATCCAATCCCAGTGGTTGATTGGAACCAAAGGTGCCTGACAATCCACAAAAGACAGTTGGTCAGAACTGATGTTGGTGTCGTTTCTTCACAGAGTAGGGGGAAAAGACAATGGGGGAAATAGGCTGGGGTCATTCCCAGCAACCCCCATGTGCCACAATTATTCACAGTGCTCCTTTCTCTGCTTTGTTTTTGAAATCAATAACATCATTTAGTATATATATTTTAGTATATAGTATAATATTCTTTCATAAATATACCTGGGAATATAAGCACAGGGGTTCAGTGCAGAATGGACTTGGGTGATCTGAGTTCGAGTCCCCGCTCAGCCATGGAGCCCACTGGGTGACTTTGGGCCAGTCACAGACTCTCAGCCCAGCCTACCTCACAGGGTTGTTGTGAGGATAAGATTACAAGGAGGAGAAGCATTATAGAATCCCCCTTGAGTTCCTTAGGAGGAAAACAGGTGGAAGATAAATATAGTAAATAAATAAAATAAAAAAAGACTTCCGAAAAGCCCTTGGCTGAGGGACAAAACATTTGAATTTTGCCCTTCTCTCCCTGCCTCCCCAGACGAGAGAAGAGTTTAACCATAGGATGAATGGCTTTCGCCCTGACCTGGCTGAGCAAGACGGCAGCAACCGCACCTGGTTCCAAGTAACGGATGCTATGGAAACTCCCACACATGTAGATTGGCGCACCAAAGGTTATGTCACCCCTGTGAAGGATCAGGTGAGTCAAGGACTGGCCTGGGAAGACAGACCCGCAGCCTAGTCTGCCGTGCAGGGGTGTAGTGGTGATGACCTGCAAAGGAGAAGGGTTATGTAAGCTGCTTTGGGTTCCCTGCCGGAGGGAAAAGGGCAGCATCTTGGAATGCAAATTTACTATTATTATTTATTTATTAAAACATTTCTATGCCGCCCCATTTGCCGAAGCCTCGGGGCGGCTCACCACATCAAGTTAAAATACAAACATTAAGTTAAAACATTAACTTAACATAACATTAAGTTAAAATGTTTGTAAAATACAAACATTAAGTTAAAATGTTTGTAAAAATACAAACATTAAGTTAAAATGTTTGTAAAAATACAAACATTAAGTTAAAATACAAAAAATAACAATACAAATTTTTTGTTATTATCAAGGCCCCACTGAACTGCAGATTCAGTACCTGACTCCTTTAGCCTGAGCATTACAGATAAATCACCTTTCAATAGGGGGTTTTTTGTTTTGGGGTTTTTTTTTTTTTGGTAAATTTCGGGTTGAGTGGTTTATTTTGTGGCTTACTTGTTAAGCAAGCTCCAGGGAAGAAGAAATGTGTGTGTGTGTGTGTGTGTGTGTGTGTGTGTGTGTGTGTGTGTGTGTTTGGACAGATGGTAAGAGAGCAAAAGCTAGCTGCTCTGCAAATCAAGCATGAAACTTTCTCTTATCTTCTGCTTTTCCCTGTGTGTTGACTTCTTGCATTCTTCGCTTTCATGTCTGATGCATGTGCCAAACAGCCTGGTGGCAACTGAAACAGAAAACGAACCAGACAGAAGTTTGGCAAAAAGTTACCAGGAACTTCTGTAGCCACCCGTGGGTGGGAGGGTGGGCAGGCTGGCTGGCTCACACTGGTTCTGCCAGCCCAGATTTGGCCCCGAATTCAGGTTCCAAAATCAAATGCCTCTACTTGGAAAGGGCAAAACTGAAGATCCTCTTGGTTTCTCAGCATCTGTCCCTCACTGTCAGTCAAGTGCTCCAGTCTCCTTCGCAGAGGCTTGGTTTGTGATGTCTTCTCAACCATTCAGATTCTCTTAGCCTCCATCCTGCAGCGCACAGTCCATGCTCAGTGTATCAGGGTCATCGGTGTCAGCACCATCTTGCTCTTTAGCCCAAGCCCTCGGGGAAATTTGTTCCTAATGCCGCCGTCCAACCTCCAAAGGCACCGAGATATGGAATTCAGAGCACGACCCAGCCTCAGCTCATGGATCAGCCTGCTTTTCCCACAGGGCGACTGCGGGTCTTGCTGGGCGTTCAGCGCCACCGGAGCCCTGGAAGGGCTGCATTTCAAGAAGACACAAACACTGGTCTCTCTGAGCGAACAGAACCTCGTAGACTGCTCCTGGAAGGAGGGCAATCAGGGATGCGATGGAGGATGGATGAATTCCGCCTTCAAGTATGTGAAGCTCAACAAGGGCATCAACTCAGAGAAAACCTACCCCTATGAGGCACAGGTAATATCTGAAGATCTGCATTCTGAGATCTTCTCCCCTCCATTTTAGCGCTGTCTGTCTGTCTGTCTGTCTGTCTGTCTGTCTCCCTCTTCTATTTCTTCCTGGTATATAAAACCCTATTCTTCAATCCACTAGAAATCTAGCTTAAGTATAGATTCTACCTGGAGTGTGCGTTACTGGCAATTTAATCCCCAGCTACATTTAACTGAGAAGAAAATAGAAGGCAATCTGGGCATATGACTTCATCACAGGACAGGAAACAAATCCTGGGAGAGTAGACAAGGGGTGCAGAGCTGCTGGCCCAGGGTTTCAGTCTGGCCTTCTGGAATTCCCAGGTGGCCACACCCCTTTCTCTGTCCTCACCCACTTTCCCCAAACACCAACCCTGTGGTCTGGGATTGTCACCAATTTAAGAACACTGATATTGTGTTGAAGTATTTATTAATCAGAGTGGGGTTTTAATATAGACAATCTTTTATGTATTTTCTTTTTTTAAAAAAAATCTATGTATTTATTGAACGGAGCTGGTCTTTGACTACAATACAGTTTCTGTCTATCTGTCTGTCTAACCTTGAGTGGCTTCTTGGTCTCGCCCATTCAAAAGGATGACATGCCCTTTCTAAACCTGCTGATTCTTTGCAGGACGGCCGCTGTCGGTACAATCGCTCAGACCCAGCAGCCACTTGCACTTCATGGGTAAATATTGCAAAAAAGAATGAGAAGGATCTTGAAAAAGCTGTGGCCAAGGTTGGCCCAGTGTCCGTGGCAGTAGACGCGAGCGACTTCATGTTTTACAAGTCAGGTAAGGCCACAAAAGGGGTGTGTTACTGTTACAGCTAAGAGTGTGATCTTCAAAGCAAACGAAACCTTCCTGCTGAAAACCCGAGCAAGCGGAACAGACCACTTTGAATAGCGGAAGTTGAATTCTCGTCAAATCACTCCTTCTCATGCTGACTGTGGGTGGACCTGTACCAACATCTTAATATCTTTCTAGGCCAGGAGTCTCAGACTCACAGCCTGCGGGCCGATTGCGGCCCGTGGGACACTATTTTGTGGCCCCCACTTGATATCAAAGTTTAGTGACAGTGCGGCCCGCGCGTTTTCTCACACGCACCTGCATGAGTCGTTACCCGGGGCGCAATGTTCCCTCTAAGCTGCGTGCCGGGCCGGGCCAGGCGGGGCACGGGGAGGGGCCCTGCGGCCTGCAAAGCGCGGGGGGCGCCCGGGCCGGCCTCCGGGAGCCACGCGGGATGAGCGGCCCACCGCCACCGCGGGGGTGGAATCCTTGATGCGGCCCAGCCTCACCCAGACTCTACTTCCAGCGGCCCCCAGGTCAGTTGAGTTTGAGACCCCTGCTCTAGGCAGAGCAGGACTCTGATTTAGGGTGACCCAGTGAACAAGTACCACCAAAATGGTCTATGTTTTATACTTGGGCTCAACGCTTACGATGTCAAGGTGGCAGCTGCTTTTATAGAATCAACCCATTTGATAGTTGGTCTTCTCTTCTTCTTCTGCCTTTCCCAAGCATGACTGCCTTCCTGAGGAAGTCTTGCCTTCTCAAGATGTGCTCAAAGTAGAACAACTTCAGTTTTGTCATTCTCGCTGCCAGGGAAAGTTCTTGCTTGATTTGATCTAGGACAGATTTGTTTCTGTGGTTCTGTGTGACATTTCCTGCTTCATTTATGACCCTAGGCCAAACTCCCCACAATACTGGATTTCGCTTTGTTTTCTACTTTTGCATTCCAGTTATGACCAGCATGTCTTGTTCTGTTGTGTTGTTAATTTCTTCTTGGACATTTGTATAGAAGATTTTGGTTTCTTCTGGCTTCTGTTGATGGAGTGTAAACTTGAAGGATGGTTATATTGATAAGCTTTCTGAAAATTCTGATAGATATTGTTTTGTTGGAGTTTGCATTAGAACCTCTACCTGCTTATGCTACATCTTGCCTCAGTATTACAACCGTTCTGTTTATGCCGAGATTGTCTATTCAAGGGTAAAACACTTTATTCCTGTCCAACAGAAAATGCCCCATTCCAGTTCATTTTACTTTGTTCATACCAGGTACTGCAAACTCTTCCCTTTCTTGCTTTACAGGCACCAGTTTGCTTTATTTATTTATTTCATGCATTTAATTTTGGCTCTGGCCTCTCGACAGAGCAGCGGAGGCAGAGGCTGGGAGAGAGTGCTGAGTGTCCAGAGGACTGGAGAAGGCAAGGCAGGAGCTGGCTGGGGGAGTAGAGGGGGGCAGGAGCAGTGGAGAGAAAGGGGACGGGGGCAGAGGGGCCAGGAGGGAGCAGAGGGGCGGGGCCAGTGGCATGAGAGGCATATAGGGCCTCGCGCAGCCACTGGCCGCCCCTTGGGCTCGGGCCTCTTGGCAGAGCAGCGGAGGCAGAGGGTGGGGGAGAGGGCTGAGGGTGGCCAGGGACCGGGGAAGGCAAGGCAGGAGCTGGGCAGGGGAGTGGGGGGGGGCAGGAGCAGCGGAGGGGAAGGGGTGGGGCCAGAGGGGCCAGGAGGGAGCAGAGGGCGGGGCCAGCAGCCTGAGAGGCATATAGGGCCACGCTCAGCCACTGCCCGCCCTTTGGGCTCGGGCCTCTTGGCAGAGCAGTGGAGGCAGAGGCTGGGGGAGAGGGCTGAGGGAGGCTTATAAGGTGTCGTCCCTTGTCTGCGCCCCTGGGTGCGGTGCCAGAAGGAATGCTTCAGGTTCCTCGACCACGGCACCCGGTTTCTTGCAAACGGGCTTCTGGCAAGGGACGGGTTACACCTCACCTCACGGCAGTCTGGGTGAAACTTAGGGGTTTTGACAGGGAAAGAGACCTGACAGTGGGGGTATGTTATCGCCCTCCAGGTCAACTTGAGAACCTGGATGATGTCCTGACAGACCAGATTCTAAGGATATCTCGGGGGAGAGACACAGTAATTATGGGAGATTTCAGTTTCCCGGATATTACTTGGGAGACTCACTCAGCAGTGATAGCCAGGTCACATTGCTTCCTAGATGCTATAGAGGAAGGGTTTTCACACAGAGGGTCCGAGAGGCGACAAGGGGGGGAAACATCCTTGACTTGGTCTTGACCAATAGGGAGGAGCTGATAGATGAAGTACAGATTAGGGGAGCTCTGGATGCGAGTGATCCCTCCATCCTCTGCTTTGAGATCAGGGGACTGGGGACGTGCAGCAGGTCGAGCACTAGAAGCTGGGACTTCAAGAGGGCCAACTCTGGCCATTGAAGGCCAGACTGGGGAAAGTCTCCTGGGACAGGTTACTGGAAGGCAAGCGACTTGAGGCGGGGTGGATGGCACTCAAAAGGGAGGTTTTGGAGGCGCAAGTCTTGACGATACCTCTAGTCAGTAAGGTGGGGAGGCGGAGGAGAGGCCGCCATGGATGCGAAAGGAGGTGGTTAGAGGGATTAGACGAAAGAGGAACCTCCGTAGGAAATGAGTACTGGGGCAAATAGACCAAAGGGTATACCGGGAGGAGGAGGCCCGTTGCAGAAGGATTCTTCGCAAGGCTAAGGCTGATGACGAGCTGAGACTTGCCAAGAATATCAAGAGCAACAAAAAGGGCTTCTTTCAGCATGTAAATAGGAAGAGGAAGGGGAGACAAGTGGTGAGACCACTAAATAAGGAGGAAGGAGATCCAGTGACTGCTATGAGGGAACAGGCACAGATGCTTAATGACTATTTTGCCTCTGTGTTCTCCCCAAAGCAGGACGGGGGATATCCGCATAGGAGATTAGATGAGACCGGGGACCTAGGGGCACAGATTAGAGTCACCCCCCCTTGAGGTCGAGGGGCTCCTCAGGGCATTGGACATTACAAAGGCGCCAGGCCCTGACAAGTTACACCCAAGAATAGAGAGTTGGCAGGGGTTCTCTCATGCCCGCTGGCCTCCATTTTTGAGACCTCGTGGAGAATGGGTGAAGTTCCAGAGGACTGGAGGGTGGTGTCAGTGGTCCCAAATCTTCAAAAAGGGTAGTTGAAGGGACATGGGGAATTGGAGACCAGTTAGCTTTATGTCCCTTGTAGGAAAAACAATGGAAAGGCTCATAATGCAGAGAGAGCTAGTGATGCTAAATAGGGAGGGGAGGCTGGTGGCCACGCAACACGGCCTCCACAAAAACAGGTCCTGCCAGACAAACCTTGTGGAATTCTGTGACAAAGTTTTGAGATGGCTTGATGGAGGGGATGCAGTGCATTGGTTTACCTGGATTTCAGCAAGGCCTTCGACAAAGTGCCCCATGATATCCTGTTGAGAAACTGAGGAGTTTTGGGATAAAACAGAGCACTGTCCAATGGATTAGGGCATGGTTGACTGACCGAAAGCAGAGGGTAACCATTAGTGGGGAATCATTGGGATGGCGGCCAGTGACAAGCAGGGTCCCCCAGGGCTCTGTCCTGGGGCTGATCCTGTTTAATCTTTTCATCAATGACATGGAAGAAGGGGTGAACAGTCTACTGATCAAATTCGCAGACGATACTAAAACTAGAGCAGTGGCCACAACTGAGGAGCAGGTACTCCAGATCCAGAAGGATGTGGACAGACTATGGAAGTGGGCAGGAGACAACAGGATGGCGTTCAATGTGGATAAGTGCAAGATCTTGCGCTTGGGGCATAGGAATGGGTGCCATAAGTACAGGTTGGGGGACAAGTGGCTGGAGAGCAGCACTTGTGAAAGGGACCTTGGGGTGCTGGTTGACTGCAGGCTGAACATGAGCCAGCAGTGTCATGCGGTGGTCAAGAGGGCAAACGCCACACTTGGTTGTATAGCCAGAAGTGTGGCTTCTAGATTGAGAGAGGTATTACTGCCACTCTACACAACTCTGGTGCGCCCGCAACTGGAGTACTGTGCTCAGTTCTGGGTCCCTCATTAGAGGAAGGAAATAGCCAGGTTGGAGTCAGTGCAGCGTAGGGCCACAAGGTTGGTGGCCGGTTTGCAGGGGAAGCCGTATGAGGCGAGACTGAGGGAGCTGGGTCTCTTCAGCCTGGAGAAGAGGTGACTCAGAGGGTATATGTTGGCGACATACAGGTATGTGAGGGGGTGTCACGCGGAGGTGAGTAGAGACCTGTTCTCCCTGCAGAGGAAGGCAGGATGCGCTCCAACGGAGCCAAGCTCAGGGAAGCAAGGTTCAGTTTGGATGCCAAGAAGCACTTCCTGACAGTGAGTAACCCGAGGGCATGGAATGGGCTTCCATGCGAGGTGGGTAAGGCTCCATTGGAGAGGCTGTTCAAGGATAGGCTAGACATGCGCATGGTGGGCATGTCGTGAGCGGAGCCGGCTGGAGCCGGGGGTCAGACTAGATGGCCTGGGAGGCCCCTTCTGACTCGCTTTGTTTCTATGTTATACCCCGTCCTATCGCTTCAAGTGCTCAGGATGGATTACAAGATACAGAAAACTACAATAAATATAAAACTAGTATAAAAACAGTAAGTATTAAAATAATATAAACATACCACTATAAAATGTGACTGTGAAAGAGGGGGGATAAAATAAAATAAAATCCTTAAACATCTATTAATTGTTAAAATAACAATCAAATAAAAAGATCTTTACCTGAAGCCGGAAAGAATATAGCGTCTACGCCAGGCTTTGATTCATACTTCTCATGTTCCAATTGTATTTTTGGGCATCAGACTTTCCTTTCACCTCTGTGAATTTCGGCTACTAGACTTCCTTTAGGCTTTGATTTAGTTGCATCTTAGGGACAGTACCGTTTGTACGTACCCTTTGCTCTTCCCTAGTAGCTGGCTGATTGCCTTCCAACTGGGGGCACAGGTGACTCACCTCTAGCCCAATACCCCATTTTATTTTGGATCATTTCACATAAAGTTTCCAAGGGAAGAAGATTCAGAGGCAGTTTACCAATGCTTTCTTCAGTGCAATACTAAGCAAATTTAGTGTTAGCATAATTGCTGTTGCCTGGGAAAGATCTTCCACCAGTGTGGCCTGCTGTTCGTTAGTTGTCTCTCAGGAGGTTTTCTGCTCCCATCACCATTAAAGATATCCCTTCTCTTTGCTGTTGTGATTGGAAGAGACCAGGTGTCTCTTCGACCCTTCTGCCTCGCGTGACCCTGTTAGGAGACCCACCTAGTGTCCAAGTCTGGACTCATAACAGCATAGATCTCTGCTTCTCTGAAACCCAACACTTCACCACATCCAGGTGTGCGTCCAAGAGTGGGAGAACAGGGCTGCCCATCAACAAAATGGCACATCTGTGGCACATCTCAAAGCTACCTCAATGTGGAAGGAAGGAAGGTCTCCCAAATGGGTCAAAGATCCCGCAAAGCTTGGAACAGAACCACATGGTGTTGTCACTGACTTACAGGTGGCAACTACGACACAAGCTCTTGATGATGTGAATGTGATGGGAACAGGAAAGATGGGAGTTGGTGAGAGGGACAAGGGGCAGACCCTGCAAGAGAGAAAGACGGCTGGGGGGAAGCAGGAAGAGCAACAAAGCAGAGCAGAAGAGTTGAGCAGAGAGGGAGGTGCAGCCAGAAGCAGAATGAGAGGGGACTTCCCAGCACATGTTGTGTTTTTTTCCCTTTGATTCCAGGAATCTATTTCCGCAAGGGGTGTGGTGAGTTCTTGAACCATGGCATGCTGGCAGTTGGCTATGGCATTACCAAGGAAGACGGGAAAATAAGAAAATATTGGATCTTGAAGAACAGGTGAGAATAACCGTTTGGGGTTAAATGGATGAGCAAGAGCCCCCGCTCACCCGGCAAGTGCTGAGGTCATTCTGCCTCTTGCTGGGGTATCCTAAATATTTATTTATTTTTCAATTTATATCCTGCCTTTTTCCTGCAAAGGGCTCAAGGCAGCTTGCATCATTCTCCTCCTCCATCTTATCCCCACAACAACAACCCTGTTAGTTAGGCTGGGCTGAGAGTCTGTGACTGGCCCAAAGGCACCCATGGCTGAGCGGGGACTAGAACCCAGATCACCTGAGTCCCAGTCCCATGCTCTTAACCACGACACCACACTGGCTCTCAGCTTACTTAGCTTTTGTTATGTAATAAAGCTGGTTTTGCTACTGTAGATTGACTTACAAATTGAGGCTACAGAAGAATCTGTTTTAGGGTCTCAGAATTTCTGCATCTAGGCCAGCCAGTTAGAGATCTAAAGCTAAACTATTGGGAACTGATTAGCACCATCCTGTCTGGAGGAGTGCTCACCAAGAACATACTTTTCTGGGCTATTCTCTGGGGTCCAGTTTCCAAAGGGACTGTGGGATGCCCAGGTGCTCTGGCATTCACTGCATAGCTGACTCTTCCCTTCTTTGAGTCAGAATCGAACCTCAGCACTTCTGGAATCGCCTCTGCTAAGGTGCTGAGTGAAAACCCTATAGAGCAGCACTGGGATCTATTCCTTATGGCCTTCTGTAGGTGGAAAGAGACCAGGCCCTGCAGGTGCAGGGAAGGGGCACGGCTCCCACCCAAGGGTGCTACTGACATACCACTTCCCGTTTCCAAGGAAGCGAGAGGCCCCTTCGTTTGGAGAACTGCATTGCAAACCAAGCATGGGGGAAGGAAGGGGAGCCCCCCAATGGGAAAAAAGCAAACGGGGATCAGGCATTTTCAGCAGCCACACACAGAAATCTATTTGTTGGTTTTCAGCATGTTTCGCCCACTCACCAGCCAAAAGGGGTGTGGAGAGAGCGACTGAGCTCACTCTGAAAACGAGCTGTGGGATTTACTTCTTTTGGCATTGTTAGAGTGCCATGTTGTACACTCATGTACTTCCACAGTGGCATTTCGCATGAGTCTTTAGAAACCAGCATAGGAAACAATGGTTTGATCTATGGCTTCTCTGGATCAGTGTGAACCAAAGCACCCCATTGGCTTCGCTCCAGTCCTTCTTTTGCACATGTGAATTACAGCCCCTCCCAGTCTTCTAGGGGACTCACCTGGATGTCAGGGAGAAAATCGAAGCTCCACCCAGGTAGATTCACCCGCGCTTCGACGACACGCTCACCTACTCTTTTCCATTATCACTCGACAGCTGGGCCAAAACCTGGGGCAAGAAGGGCTACATGTGGCTGGCGAAGGAACGACATAATCATTGTGGCGTGGCAACCGCTGCAAGCTATCCTACCCTGTAACTTGCTCCAGGGGCCACGATCCCACCTTTTGAACCAGCCCAGCAACAGAACAGCTTCACACCGAACTGCCACGATCGTGTTTGCTTCCTTTTGACCTCACAGTTTCCCAAAGAACCAAAAGAAAATCTGAGCTTATCATCTCTCCTGATACCTAGTGATGCAAGTGAGCAAATCAGTATTGAAAATAAAATGCAGAATATTGCACTTATTAGACACTGTTGAGCCAACGTGGTCCTGATTGAGAGCCAGTGTCCCTGTCCCAGGGAAGTCTGCACTCAGCTGGAACGCAGAAGATGCTCTTAAAATACTCCCCAAACTCGGACCAGACTCTCCAGAACTTCCTGTGGGTAATTTGCCAGCCTGCACTCTCAGGCTTCCTTAGATCCCCCTCAGCGCAGGGGAGAGGGGGGAGCGTGTGCCCCAGCAGTTGTGCTCCTCCAGCCTCTTGCGATCGGACATCCTTCCGAATGTTTGGGACACAAGGCACTGGGGAACTTGGGAAGTGTGCTCCCCCATCCCCCCGCCATCCCACACCCGGTCCTGGTCCTTCTCTCAGATAGACTCTGGGAGGACTAATGATGGTGACCGGCCCCCACAGCTCATAATGGCGGAGAAAACAACCTTTCCATGCATTTAACTGCCAATTTACCCACAAAAAGGAAGTGAACGTTGGTACACAAAATGATCCGTGTTATTCTACGCTTGCTGACTCATTTCCAGGAATCAGGCCCTTCAAACGCACAGAATCATGGAACCATTCAGACTTAAGTGGTCACGAAGGCCGCAGAGTATTGCCCCTCCACAAAGCAGGACTCCAGGCACAAGCAGCCCGGATACACGACTGTGCAGGGCACCTTCAGGGCCAACTGTGTTTTTTTTCTGCCTCTCAGCCAGAATCTGCCTTCCTCTCCCTTCAGACCATTATTCAATGTCCGGAATGCTGGCGTGATGTGAGGGAGATCACAGCCCCCTTCGCTGCACCCACATTTCAGGGAAGTGAGAAGCATGTCCGGTTCTTTCCATCCCAAGTCGCAGGGCTTTGTTTCTCACCCCCAGAATCTTTCTTCTCCCTGCTTTGAATATTTTCCAGTCATTCTGCAACTTTCTTAATGCCTGATACCCAGAAAGGGGCGTGATATTTAAGCAGGGCCTGAAGGATGCTGAACAGAGGGGAACGAGCACCTCCCATGCTTGGAAGGCATCCTTCCGTAACCGCAGCCCAAAACTGCACTTGCCTTTCCGGCAGCCATGATTCCAGCCCCCTCCTACTCGGTTCATGATCCACAAAGGTTCCGATATTCCTCTCATCTGGAGCACTGCTGAGGGAAGTGCCCCCCTCTAGTGAATTGGCATTTCCCCCCGGCTGGACATGCACATGGTGGGCATGTCGTGAGCGGAGCCGGCTGGTGCCGGAGGTCAGACTAGATGGCCCGGGAAGCCCCTTCTGACTCGCTCTGTTTCTATGTTTCTCATAGGAGCAGAACCTGCCATTTGCCCATGCTAAACCTCATTCTGTTGGAAAGCTCAGGGAAACAAGCGTCAATCTGGATGCCAGGAAGGGCTCCTCGAGAATGAGGACCCCGAGGGCATGGAGTGGGCTTCCACGGGAAGTGGTTCAGGCTCCATTACTGAGGGTGTTCAAGGGCAGGCTGGACCTGCACATGGTGCGCATGTCACATGTGGAGCCGGCTGGAGCCAGGGTCAGAATTGATGGCTCAGGAGGCCCCTTCTGACTCGCTGTTTCCTTGTTGCTAAGCTTTCAGCTCTGCACTCCAGCTTGTCAACATCACCTTGATGCTTCTTTCTGTCTTACAAGGTATTAGCTAAGGCACTCACTTCTGCATCATGCGCGGAATCGATAAGGGTTCTCCGCATTTCCTCATCCAAATCATTAATCAAATGCTCAGGACTTGTGGGGCCAGGATGGGACCCGTGGCCAACCTTGTTAGCTCTCCCCAGGGTGAGAAGGTGCCCTCGTGCCCAAATCAACACGGAGAACTGGCTGCGCTTCAATCATGCCTTCATCGACACTTAACCCGGCCCCAGAAAAGCCGTTTTCCCAAAATCCACACATGAGCATTCTTGACATGAAGCTGACACGGACCAGCACCATCCACAGAAAACTAGCGGCCCTCTGAGATAGCAGCCGCTCAGGCAAGGACGACTCACGCCAGCCCTCCATGTGCAACTCCTCTGCAGGTCCAAAGACCCTTTCCTCCCCCACTTCGGAGCATCACCCCTGGCAAGCAGGCGGGAAAGAGCACGCCTCGGCAACTCGCCGCTCAGGTGGCCTATCGCAGAGCGTTAACCGGGCGACGTGCCACCCCCAACCATCACTGGTGTTCAGGGGCCCACACAGGCCTGCTCAGGGCCCTCTGGAACCATCCATCCATCCATTCATTCATTCATTCATTCATTTCAAACTTTTATTTGCCGAACCCCATGCAGGGCATTTTGAGACTGCTCACAATCAATACGTTAAAACTGTCAATTTAATCACATACATTAAAACAATCCAAGCAACGAATAACATAACCAACAAAACGTGACTGTTGCATTAAATACCAGTTTTCAAAATACAATCTGGGCACCACTGCAGAGAAGGCCCTACTCTGAGTAGATGTCCTGTTTCCCTCCTTCAGGGAGGGCTCCCGGAGCAGGGCCTCTTCCACAGATCTTAAGGGGCCAGAGGACTGAGGCGTTCCTTCAGGCATCCCGGTCCCAAACTGTCTGCGGCTTTATAGGGCAAAACCAGCACCTTGAATTGCACCCGGACCTCAACTGGGAGCCAGTGGAGCTGCTAGAGGACCGGCATTATATGAGAATAATGCCCAGTCCCCATCAGCAGCCTCGCAGCTCTATTTTGCACCAGGTAAATGATCCAGGCCATCTTCAAGGGCAACCCCGCATAGAGCACGTTGCAGTAATCCTGCCAGAAGTTGCCAGAGCATGTGTCGCTGTTGCCAGGCACTGCTTGTCCAGGTAAGGACGCTGCTGATGGACCAGCCGAAGCTGGAGGAAAGCGCTCCTTGCCGCCACCGCCACCTGAGCTTCCAGGAACAAGTTCGCATCAAGGAGTGCCCCCAAGCTGCAGCCCCTGTCCTTCAGAGGGAGTACTACCCCATCCTCCGCATTCCACCATGCTATTTCACCTTAGTTTTTAGAAACCGTCACAAGGAACAATGGTATGCTCTATGGCTTGTCTGGGCAGGGGTGATCCGAAGCACCCACTGGCTTTGCCCCCGCCCTCCTTTTGCACGTGTGAATTGCAGCCCCTCCACGTCTTCCAGTAGTGTCACCTGGCTGTCACTGGGCAAACCGGAGCTCCACCGTCTGATCCCAGGTAGATTCATCCCCCCTTCGGCCACCCACTCACCTCCCCTGTCCGTTGATCATCCCACCATCATCTCTCTCTCTCTCTCTCTCTCTCTCTCTCTCTCTCGCTCTCGCTCTCGCTCTCGCTCAGCCGGGCATCAGTGCTGATGCAGAGCGCTATGAACTCGCCCAGAGCTGCCGGTGGAACAACCCGAGCCAGCTCATCTTTGATTGCGAAATTTAGCCCAGAGTGGAAATGGAAATGCTGCGCAGCCTTGTTCCAGTGTGTATCAGCCGCAAGGCAGCAGAAACCAGCCGCATACTCAGCCACAGACCTTCGCCCTTGTCTTAAAGACTGTAGGGCCCTTTCCGCGGTTCACACCCGGTCAGCATCCCCAAACATGTCCGTGAGGGCCTTTATAAACAGGGCCAGATTCCACAGCATGGGATGGTTGGCTTCCAAGAGGGGCGACACCCAGGTCAAGGCAGGTCCAGAGAGGAGACTCACCATCAGTGCGACCCGGTTGCGCTCGGTGGGATAGGCGTCTGGGCATACCTGGAACAGGAGCCGGCACTGGTTGACAAATCCCCGCAAACCTTGACGGTCCCCGGAGAAGGGAGCTGCGGGGGCCCGGTGGGGAGCGGTGGCTAGGGAGGCATTGCGGAGGGTGGCCAATTCATTCTGCAGGGCCAGTACCTGGGCCTGCAGTGCTTGAAGTGCATTGCTGATCTCAGTGTTCATGGTGGCCTAGGTCAGGGTGAAGCGTGGTCTCGGCAATCTGCCAGCATCTGGGGCAAGAGCGGCTGACTAGCAATGTGGGGGCACCGGGACCCAGGCAGATTAGGTGTGACAAAACCAATACACAGTGCTTTTTTTGTTAAAAGAAAAAAAGATGCCAGAACTCACGTCGCCGCCAGCAGTGAGCACTCAGTGCGCGACCACACACGCCAATCCCAAGCTGAGCAGCGTCCCAAGCCACTATCTCACTATCAGATAGCAGACAGCAGACACAAAAGCAGCCTGTTTGCTGCTGATCGGCTGTTCAAATTCAAAATCACTTCGTAAAATCCATTGGAAAAAAAGGTGCCAGAACGCCGTTCCAGTGCATTCTATGACAAAAAAAGCCCTGCCAATACACAGGCCAGAGGTCAGAGCTGGAAGTCAATATCCAGGCCCTGTCTGTACAGAAAGATAGCATAGTCCAGAGCAGGCCAAGGGTCAGAGAACCAAGGAAGGAAGACCAGTCAGGGGCAGTTGGTACCTTGCAAGTCTGGGAGAGAAGAGGTTCATGCAGGATCTGGGAATCGCCAGAATGGGAGCAGAGTGGGAATCAGAAGCACATGCAGGAATTAGAAGCACATGCAGGAAACAGGAGCGCATGCAGGAAGTAGCAGCACAGGCAGGAAACAGAAGAGCAGGCAGCATACAGGAAACGGGCATGCAGGCAGGAATCAGGAGTGCGGGCTGGCACAGCAGCGGAGTTCCGAGCCTAGTAGACAAAGAGAGAGAGATCAGTATCAAAACGGCTTCTTTGCTGAGGCCGCTCCTGAGAGGAAGAGCTGGTTGTTATATAGCTCCTCTCCAGGTCTCCCCTCCTGAGAGCCTGGCAGCTGGAGTGGTCTAAAGGTCTGAATCCTGAAACCACTAGAGCTGCTATGCCGGCCTTCGGCCAGCAGAGGGGATGCTGACACTGCCTCAAGTCTTGTCACACTCATGGATTCATTTTCGAGGAAGAGCCCCTTCAAAGGTTCGATGAGGGTTGAGCCAGAGTCTGTCTGGTTGAAGAGCCAGTGGCCCTGTTCCAGAGAAGTTTGCACTCAGCTGCAATGCAGGTGAGGTTGTACAAATAAGCCCAAACAGGGGACAAAACTCTCAGCAACTTCTGTATTGCAAATCTGAAATCTGACATTTCCCTCAGATCCTCCTCGATGTGGGGGGAGCGTGTGCCCCAGGAGTTGTGCTCCTCCAGCCTCTTGCGATCGGATGTCCTTTCAAATGTTTGGGACACAAGGGGCTGGGGCACTCGGGAAGTGTGCTGCCCCCACCAACCCACACCCGGTCCCAATCCTCTCAGATCGACTCTGGAAGGACTAAAGATGGCGATCGCCCCCACAGCTTATAATGGCAGAGAAAATGACCTTTTCAGGCAATTAACTGCCAATTTACCCACAAGAAGGAAGTGAACATTGGTACACAAAATGATCCGTGTTATCCTACGCCTGCTGACTCATTTCCAAGAATCGGGCCCTTCAGAAGCACAGAGTCATGGAAAAATTACGGTCTTAAGTGGTCACGTGGCTGTGCACTCTTCCCGCCTCACAACGCAGGACTCCAGGCCCAAGCAGCCCCGACACACCGCTGTGCAGGCCCCCTCTGGGCCTTTGGCGGGCCTTTTTTGGCCTTCCGCCAGAATCTGCCTTCCTGTCCCTTGAGCCCGTTATTCCATGCCCGGCACTCTGGCCTGATGCGAGGGAGATCCTGGCCCTCTTCTGTGCAACCCGTTTGTGAGTACTTGGGAGTCCTTTCCATATCAACACACAGGGCCTTGCTTCTCACCCCCGAAATCTTTCTTCTCCCTGCTCTGAACATTTGCCGGTCTTTCTGCGTTTCTTGACATGTGATGCCCAGAACGGGATGTCACATTCAGGTCAGGGTCTGATGGATGCTACACGGGGGGGAAAAAAAGCACCTCACGTGACATGAAGCCCTCATGTTAACGCTGCCCAAAGTAGAATTGTCTTGTTTTGAGCTGCACCGCATTGCCAACCCCTCTTCAGATCCTGACCTACAACGATCAAAAGATCCTGAACACCTGCAGTGTTGCTGAGGGAAGTGTCACCCTCTAATGACTGTTCATTTCCTTCCCCAAGGAGCAGAACCTGGCATTGGCCCTCTTTTCTGCACCCACTTTTTGAGTACTTAAGAAATCTGTCCCGTTCATTTCATTTCATCTCAACTCACTGGACTTTGTTTCCCGTCCCCTGACATCTTTCTAGCGCTCCTAAGGATGTTTTACAGTCATTCCACATCTTCTCCATCATCCTTGATCTGTGATGCCCACAACTGGAGGCGATACACAAGCAGGGCCTGAAGGATGCTGAACGGAGGGGAGCGAGCACCTCCCATGCTTGGAAGGCATCCTTCCGTAACCGCAGCCCAAAACTGCACTTGCCTTTCCGGCAGCCATGATTCCAGCCCCCCCTTTCTTGGCTCATGATCCACAAAGGTTCCAAGATTCCCCTCATCTGGAGCATTGCTGAGGGAAGTCTCCCCCTCTAGTGAATTGGCATTTCCTTCCCTTCTCGTAGGAGCAGAACCTGCCATTTGCCCATGCTAAACCTCATTCTGTTGAAAAGCTCAGGGAAACAAGCGTCAATCTGGATGCCAGGAAGGGCTCCTTGAGAGTGAGGACCCCGAGGGCATGGAGTGGGCTTCCGCGGGAAGTGGTTCAGGCTCCATTGCTGAGGGTGTTCAAGGATCGGCCCTTTCACTAGAAGTAGGAAGCTACCCTAAACTGGCAGGGCCAATTCGTGCATCCATATATTTTAACCCACCTTCTTTCCTGCATGGAACCCAAGGCAGCTTGAATAAAAATAAATAAGGTGATGAGATAAACATGTACACTAGGCACTGAATGGGGGTCTGGGGAGATTGGCGGGTTTGTCTCCACTCAGCAATTTATTTATTTAGGGTCCATTTCTGACTTTGAGTCTGACGTACATCACAGGGCTGTTGTGAAGGTCAGAAGGTGCAACTGGGACTCTGCACAAGAGGAAAGGAGGCAAGATAAAACTATACTGTGATTACATGGCCATCACACTGGAAAATAAATGGGAACTCTCCAATAATTTATTTTATCTATCTACTTTTGCATTTATATACCGCTGCAATAACAGCATGATCCATTCATTCAATTGCATTTCTATGCCCACCCACACCTGAACGTTCTCTGGGCGGCTTACACTGTATTTATATCCCGCCTTCTTTCCACGGAAAACCCAGGGCGGCTTACATAGCTCCATTTCCTCCTCATAACAACAAGCCTGTGAGGTAGGTTAGGTTTATTGTGAAAATAGTGTTCTGGAGATGCACATGGCAGGCATGTGTTGTGTGGAGCTGGCTGGAGCCGGGGGTCAGACTAGATGGCCTTGGGAGCCCCCTTCAGACTTGCTGTGTTTCCATGTTTCTAAGCTTTCTGGCCTGCACTCCAGCCTGTCAACATCACCTTCTTTCTGTCTTCCAGCTATCACACTCACTTCTGCATCATGCGCAGATTCAATAAGGGTTCCCCGAATTTCCTCATCCATATTGATCAAATGCTCAGGACTCCTGGGGCCAGCACTGAACCCTGCAGCACCCCCTCCGTTAGCTCTCCCCAGGGTGAGAAGGTGCCCCCCATGCCCAAATCCACAGGGAGAACTGGCTGCGCTTCAATCATGCCTTCCTCAACACTTTACCCGGCCCCAGAAAAGGGCTGTTTTCCCAAAATCGGCACATGACCATTCTGGACATGCAGCTGACACTGACCAGCACCGTCCACAGAAAACTAGCGGTCCTCTCAGATAGCAGCCGCTCAGGCAAGGACGACTCATGCCAGCCCTCCATGTGCAACTCCTCTGCAGGTCCAAACACCCCACCCCACTCGTCCCCTCTTCGAAGCTTCTTCCCTGGCAAGCAGGCAGGAAAGAGCACACCTCTGCAACTCCTTGCTCAGGTGACCTATTGCAAAGCATTAACCATGTTACCTGAAACCCGCCAATGATCAAATTGTACAAGGGCCAACAGAGGCCTGCTCAGGCAGCATCTGGAACACTCTGTGGATAGCCAGTTATTCTTGAGCATAAATCCTTGAAAAGAAACCCTGCACTTGTTCTGCATTTTGGCGAGGCACACTCCGGAATACAGACCTTTTGCTCAACATGAGCATATTTTTATTATTAGCCAATTAGCCTCTTTGAACTTTTCAAGGAATGGGGCAGATTAATGAACCCACATTGGGTCTTTATGCCTCATACCTGTCTATTTGGAAGGAAGCCCCACTGTCTTAATAAGAGTTACTCCCAGGTATGTGACCATAAGAATTGCAGCCCCAAAGTGCTTTCTTGTGCCCCTCCTGTTATACTAGAACTTGCACGATAGACTAGTGTTGGAGAAATCCAGAATAAATCCTGGTAGAAGAAGGTTGCTTATATGTTGCTTTGTGTTATAAAACAATATCTGCACCTCTGCCTCAGAAAACAGCCTAAGTCCAAGCCAGGTTAGTGTTTAGCACTGCTGTTTAAGAAGATAGAATACTTAGCTATAATGAGAAGTTGCTGAGGGCTGATTCAGTCAGTGGGGAAACACAGCTTTTCCCCATAGCTGCACAAAGCTTGAGACAAAGGTGTCCATTTGTTACTGAATGGACCATATAATCATCTAGCTCTAGAGAAGTGTGCACAGTGTAATTGTCAAACCTGTTCTCCTGAATGGTTCCTCAGACAAATCTGCATATTTAAAAAGCCACAGAGGCTGATCCAAAGTGCAAGGAATCTACTGAATTGACATGTCAATATAGCAATCAGTAGTTTTCCATACTATTGTTAACAGTATTTTTGATTGCTTGAGAATATTATGTCATGCCTAAAGACATCAAGATGCTATTGCACTAACATTATCTGGAAACTTAACACTCTGTGTACGTGACTTGTAGTTATAAAAAGTGTCTGTACATGGGTTGTGATTTTGTAGTTGAGTTGGCTCTACCTGGGGGCGCACTGTTCGCAACTGCAGGAACTGGGGAACCAATTCAATAAAGCCACATAAGTTCAGATGTGTAGATCTTCCCCACGAGTCTGAGTGTTCATTCCTCACGAATTGAAAACCGAGATTCTGTCACTAGCTAGCAGGCTTGATGGAAACGGCAGTCCAACAGTTACGGGGTGGAGCTCTGATTGCAGAAAGGGTTAACCGCCAAGTAAGGGCTGTTTTGCCCGTCTTCAAGATGGCCTCCTCTGCCTCTCAGGGCCACAAAGCAGCTGCGCAGACGCAGCAGAAGCCTATTTAGCCGCTCCGGCTCACCATAGCCCCATTCTCAGCCCTCAGCTTCCCAAGATGTCGGCGCCCAGTCTCAGCGACCGGAGGCTTTTGGATGCTGCGGTGGCCGCCGCTTTGCTGCTCCAACTCATTCCGGTAGTGGCTGGCACACAGGGACGCTCCAACACGTCCGACTTCGACGTGAGGCCCGGCGGGATGGTCCACTCGTTCTCGCAGAGCCTGGTGAGAGCGCGAGCGGGAGCGAGGTGGCGCGCGCTGATTGGTTTCGCCGCGCTTTTCTCGGACTGTCGTGGCGCGGGGCGGGGGGGGTCCCCGCTTTCTGATTGGGCGCTCGAGGGCTTCGTGGGCTGGAGCGGCCGCGAGTGCGCTGGCGTGTCCCTGCCGCGCCTCCGTAGAAATTGGCCAGGTGTGAGGAAGTCTGGTTCGTATTAGTGGGGCTGGGCACGTGGCCGGGCTTTGCTCCCCCGCACCTCTTGAAATGTTTTCCCCTACCAAAATGGGCTCCCGCTTATTTTCACGTGGTTTTAATTTTTCTGGGGGAAAAAAGGCGGGTTGTAAACCTAATAAAGACGAACATTATTTTTTCACGCTAAACCTAACCTACCTCACAGGCTTGTTGTGAGAAGGAAATGGAGCTATGTAAGCCGCCCTGGGTTTTCCGTGGAAAGAAGGCGGGATATAAATGCAGTGTAAGCCGCCCAGAGAACGTTCAGGTGTGGGTGGGCATAGAAATGCAATTGAATGAATGTATCATGCTGTTATTGCAGCGGTATGTAAATGCAAAAGTAGATAGATAAAATAAATTATTGGAGAGTTTCCATTTATTTTCCAGTGTGATGGCTATGTAATCACAGTATAGTTTTATCTTGCCTCCTTTCCTCTTGTGCAGAGTCCCAGTTGCACCTTCTGACCTTCACAACAGCCCTATGATGTACGTCAGACTCAAAGTCAGAAATGGACCCTAAATAAATAAATTGCTGAGTGGAGACAAACCCACCAATCTCCCCAGACCCCCATTCAGTGCCTAGTGTACATGTTTATCTCATCACCTTATTTATTTTTATTTAAGCTGCCTTGGGTTCCATGCAGGAAAGAAGGTGGGTTAAAATATATGGATGCACGAATTGGCCCTGCCAAGTTTTCTACTTGTGATGAAAGGGGCTCCAGTCTGTAAAAGTTCCCACTATATACATGTGCTCGCCTCTTGAGGGTGGCACAAGGTTCTTTGTTGTGAATTTTCATGTCATTACTTTTGCATTCATTTGGTTTTCATTGTGCAGTGACTTACACAGTTCTACTCTTTTCCATGAACACAACAACCCTCTGAAGTAGGCTAGGCTGAGAGTCACTTGGTGAGCTTCCTGTTTGAGTAATAGGGACTATCACCCTGGTTTTCTGTGTTCCCAGGTACAATGTCTAGGGTGCATATTGAGCTTATCTGCTTATTTTTTCTGTGTATCATCAAATATTTCACTGTTATGCTGCATTGCATTAATAGGGAAAATGTTATGCATTCATAATAAGTACAAAATAACACAAGCGATTACATTAAACACTGAGCAAAATGCTGAATGAAACTGATGTAATAAAAGTTAAATGTACTTTTAATTTTTATTTCATAAGCATGAAATGTTTTTGAACATTGCATGTTGAATTTATTTTCATTTTTCCTTACTGTATGAGTATTACCTCTATTTTTTCATTTTGTTTGTCTGTTGCATTGTTTGTTTTAAAATTATCCATCCTCTCCCAAACTGCTCCACATTTGCTAGCAAGATAATGAATAGTTGCAGGGCTCTTGAGTTTTCTTCAAGCTTTCTTTTTTAACTTCCTGCTGAAAGACTAGTAAAACATATCGCTTTGTGGTCAAGGTCTGCATGTTTGTTTTCTTGTTTACTCTGCTGAAGGCTCATCCTGTTGATTAAAAATATAAACGCAGTGTGTGGTTTATTCTGTGTTGGTTTTCCATATTACTGGAAATCTTGCATTACTGCCCACGTCTGGAGTAGGTGTATGGGAAATAATGGAGAAAAGCTTATTTCTGTTAAACACATGTGAACACCACCTCCAAAAAAGAGAGAAGCTGGAAAGAAAAATCATATTTTATAGTTCTGTTCCTGATCTTACCTCCATGGTGAAACTGCTGCACATAATGGTTTGGCTTGACTGGGTATTCTCTTCATTCCCTGTAATCATGACTGCTTTGTGACAGAAAAAGAACTTGAAAGGTTTTTAAATGTTCATTTCTTTCCCTCCCTCCTCCCCTTGTCCTTTTTAGGGAGAATTCAGCTGTACTTTCACCTATGCAGCTCAAGGTGGGACGAATGAGGTGAGCTGTTGAAAATCCTCATATAAGTTTGGATGAAGCCCCCTGCTAGCCTTGAATCTGGAATGGCTGTGTTTCCCAAATTCTGCAAGACAGGCATCCTCGTGTCCAAGGAAATGGACTGGATGGAAGGTGTCACCCACAGAAAGCTTGGGAGCAGAGTGTGTGTGGGAAGCAAATTATCAGTTTGGCTGGGAAAGGAAAAAACACTTTCAGCTGTAATTTTAACTTTATGGGGGGAATGTGTTTTGGGGCCCATTCCTGAGAAACAGAGCGAGTCAGAAGGGGTCTCCCAGGCCATCTAGTCTGACCCCTGGCTTCACCCAGCTCCACTCATGACATGCCCACCATGTACATGTCCAAAGCCATGGTTGAGCATCCAAACCATTATTTTTCCCAGCATGCTTTGCCCCTATTTTCTTTTCGCCAGCATGCTTTGCCTCAGCTGAGGGGATCCCTAGCTTTTTCCTTCTCCAAGGAGTGAATTTGTGGTATGTGTGTTTTTGTGCATGTCCAGCAATCATCCATTTGTCTCTTTTCAGCAATGGCAAATAAGCGTCGGGATCAGCGAAGACAATGGACTGTTTTCTTGCTCAATCTGGAGGTGTGCGTAGCTTCTTGTCCTTTCTAGAACACAGGAACGCGTGACTTTAACGAACAGAGAAAAGTACAAGAGGGGCATGCATTGACTATTGTGAACTGTGGCCTGAGAAGTCCCTTTCCAGTGGGACAGTTCCGAATGCCCCCCAGGGTGTTGGTGGGAAGCTGCATTTGTCTTGGTCCACTTACTGCAAATGCTGAGCATCTGTGCTGCTGGTGTCTCCATTCCTCTGCTAGTTTGGGACAAACCCAGGGCATGACTTGATCACCAGTTTCTAAACACAGGTGGACACCGAGCTGGTTTAAGATACTCCTAATCTCACTTTAACAAGCAAAGTTACACAAAAGCTTTAATCTCTTCACCCACCTCCCTCCCTCCCTTTGTGTGAGGTAGCCTTGTACCAGGAAGCCTCCAATTAACTCTCGTTTCCTGTTTGGGTTAACCCTGGAAACTGATTAGCAGCTTTGCAAAGTTGTGATCAAACCTGGAATATTGGATCAGCAGCTGCGGCTTAAAGTTGGTTTTATATCCTAGTTTGTTCCTCAGAGGGTGTCTGCAGTTTAGATGAAACATGGAATTATGGTTAACAGAAGATGTATACATTTGCTCATGCACATGGGGAAAAAGCATGTCTGTATCTTGTTAGACTGAGAGATAATCATCTAAATGTGGCCGGTCTCCTTTTCATAGCGATATCTGGACCTAGCCTGCTCCCTCTGGCTTCTTGGCATGGTGCAATTTGTTCTATCTCTCTTCCAGAATGCTGTAGCTCACATCTTTCTTTTTTTCCAGGCCCCAAGGGAAGTCTTATCTCTTCTTTACCCAGTTTAAAGCTGAAGTGAAAGGTGCAAAGATTGAGTACGGCATGGCCTATGTAAGTACTGTCCCCTTCCTGCTTCATGCGGGGAAGAGAGCTTGCTCTCCAGCTGTGGACTGCTGCCAAAAATACATTCAGCTGGGTCACACTGACCCAGTTGAGACACCCTGACAGATGTTTCTTACATTTTGGGGCTGCTTCTGCTTAGTTCAAAACACAGCTGCTGGATTGTCAGCTGGGTTTGCGGTTTAGTTCCTTCACTGCCAAGGGATTCAGACAGTGCTTCTTCCCGTACCTCTCTGGGTATTGAATCCAGTACCCTTTTGGGGGAAAGCAGAAACACTGCTATTGAGGAATAGCCCTTCTGAGTAAACTATCGGAACTGCGTATCCCAGGACTGCAACTTCTTAAGTTGGTGGGACCAGTGATGTGAGTCAACCAAAGGCCGTTCTCCAAGTCCTTAGGGTCTTATACTTGCAGTACCAGGGTGGGTTGCGGGTGCTTTGAGATGACTTCTGTGTATTGATTACCTTTCTGAGTGTCCCTCCACTGGCTAAATGCATTCCGTCTTGCCACAGTCCACGGCAGCAGTTGGAGGGCGCAGCGATATTCCACTGAAGGATGAAGAATTCCAAGTGATTGAAACAGCAGGTATGTCACCAACATGGTAGGCGAGGCCACTCCACAGGGGAATGCCCCCCAGCCATGCCAAAAGAGGCACGGTACAATGCTACCCGTTCAGTCACCGTTTTTCCTTGCTCTGATTTGGAAACATCCAACTGCTGTGACAGGGGCCTTGCATGGCAGACTCTGGCACTTTTTAAAATGTTGGTTTCTGTCACCAGTTGGTATCTTCCTCACAGCTTTTTGGAAAATGTCTATTTTTTTCCCTGCTCTCTCCCATTTCCTTTTCTTATTGTGCCATGTCTTTAAGATTGTAAGCCTGAGGGAAGAGGCAGTCTTGATAACCATCTATATAAGCTGCCTCAAGAGCAAGGTAAAACCGCTGAGCCGCCGCTTCTCTCGTAACACGTTTCCTTCTCCCTCTTCTAGTGATGCACAAGGAAGGCAAATTCCGCTCAGAGCTCTCCAAAGTGCTGATCATAGCCAAAATGTACCACATGGAGTTGTGAGCCACTCTTGGTGTTTCTGGGGACAATGTGGTGGTTCGTCAAGTTGACCCTGGCGTGGCATTGGGGACTCTTCACTGTCAACCGGTGCTCTTTTTGAGTAGTACTTCGGCAGGGGTTCCACAAAATGCACATTGGCTTGGAAATCCACCACTCCCATCCCCATAATTGCGGGTGTGTTCGACCACATCAGAGCTGATGAGCCTGGAACACAACATCAGAAACGGATGAGCGATGCCACCTGTCTTTCTCACTACCCCGTTTTTCATTGCCAACCCTGGATGACCATGAAGAACATGGTAGAAAATTGACTTTCTCCCAGGAGGTTCCAGGACCAACCAAGTTATCTTTCCCCACACTACCTCTCCACAGTTCAGCTCAATGACAGTGGAAGACCCTGCGTTCTTTCTTGGGGCAAAAAAGGGGTAATAAATATGAATAAAACAGATTATATACTGTAACATTTGCCTGTGCTGTCTCTTTGCCGCTCCTGCTGGTTCGTATCACGTATTTATAAAAGGTGAAGAAATCAGGCATGGGATTTGGGGCAGGAATGTGGGTGAACAAGCTCCCAGCTTTAATTATTCCTTGTCTGTGTTACACAAGCAGGGATGGACTGGCTGTAGCAGTAGGCAGATGTTCCAATTTCTTGGAGATGTGAATTCACAGATATTGATTCTATTTCCAACCTGCTGTTTTTCCTGCATGGAGCCCAAAGGCCACATGTGATTTCTCTTCCTCTCCATTTTAGCTCCCTGTCAGGGAAGGGACAGGATGCAGTGAGATGGAATGCAACACAGATGGGGATCTGGTAGAGGGTTTTTCACAGGGAAAGAGACCTGACAGTGGGGGTATGTTATCGCCCTCCAGGTCAGCTTGAGACCCTGGATGATGTCCTGACAGGCCAGATTCTAAGGATATCTCGGGGGAGAGAGACAGTAATTACGGGAAATTTCAATATTACTTGGGATATTACTTGGGAGACTCACTCGGCAGTGACAGCCAGGTAACGTCGCTTCCTAGAAGCTATTGAGGGAGCGTTTTTCACACAGGGTCCGAGAGGTGACCCGGGGGGGGGGGGGG